TTACATGAAAAACCACTTTGTCAATGTCTTCCTTCCTTCCTTCCTTCCTTCCTTCCTTCCTTCCTTCCTTCCTTCCTTCCTTCCTTCCTTCCTTTCTTTCGGTGAAGAATGGCCCACATCTATGACAAACACATTCATTGACTAAAGCATCAGGGACCTTTTCTCCCCCTTCCTTTATACATTTACCTATTTAATTTAATTAAAACTCATATTGTCTATGGACCAAATAAGCACTCATGTACAGGATGCTATGACAACATAAACATACAAAACATAGCAAGGTAGGGTGCTCAGCACAGAGCCAGTCCCTTAACACCATAGGTAGCAAATACATTATTGCTGATCCCGTGTACACCATGTCCAGCATCCAGAGGATATCAGTAAAGTACACTGAATGTATGGAACTGGCTCTCCTAGTCCATCTATTATTCCCAGAGTGTCCAAGCACATTTCCTCACAAAACATAGAGGCCATGGGTTTCTGAGGTTTGCAGAACCCAACATACATACTGCTGACAGAATTCTAAGCACCTACTGACTTCCCTAGTCCTCAAGAACAGGAGGTGTCACTTCCCTTCCCAGAGCTGACATGCTGTCACTCAAGGGTCCAAACTGGGCAGTTCACACAGTGCTGTCAACAATTTCAGCAAGAAGGCTGCATTCAGGGCTCTTTGCTAAATGATGTATTTTAAAAGTTACAGGCTCGCTCCAATGGGGTCGCACCATCTTATTTATTTTTCCTCAGAGAACACACTCCCCTGAGCAGATACACTTATTAAATATCACTTAATTCTTTTAAACAACGGGATGGATTCAGATCAGGCCTAGGCAGGGTCACCTGGGCAGTTCTGAGGCTGCATGAGGTCTGGCCAGTCGCCGGCTGGCTGCCTAGAACCCGCGCGTGGCGGTACCTGTGCGCCACCTACTGGGCAGTTTCCTTCAGTTCATTAGCAACCTGAGAGCTGAGGGCGTGGAGGCTGGCTTTGTGCAATGAGCTTCTTTTAAACAGAGACTTCCTCTACCTGCCTGTAGGTCTCCATTAACTAGTACCGTGCTTGAGGCAAGAACCACCTGATGAATGTTTGAAGGCAAGCAGGAGGGTGGCAGGCGGGGAGGGGGACAGAAAGAAAGGCGCCCCTGACATAGCAAGAGCTCCATATATCTTCGATGAAAGAATGTGTGGCACCTGCACCTCTTATGTATGGGAGGAACTTGGCACCCAGGCTCTAATCGTCAGGTCCAGGAAACACCATTGAAATAATTCTAGTATTTACTGACTACCCGCTTTGCATAGTGAAGACCCACAGCGTGTAACAGGGAGAAGTTAAGCACCTAGGAGGGATGAGTGACCCAAGGAAACTACAGCAGGGGACATGCCAGAGAGTGATGAGGATAGAGCATCGCTACTCTGAGGTGACAATTGAGCTGGGAAAAGACAAGCAAAATGCAGTCACGGTGCATCTGCTAGAGGAGAGCCAGCATAAGTATTTGAAGCAGGAGACAGCTGAGAAAGGGGACAAAAGGGCCACCGTGGAGGATATCATAATTATATAAAGATCCCATTCAGACCTCAAGTCTAAAAAAAATTTTTTTTTGAATTCTATAGAATCTGTTCACATGACCCACTGTTCAAATTAAGTCACCTTGATTAGGCAAGAATTCAGACAGTGCCCCTACCTTTTAAATTCCTACTGGTGTTTGACAAGCACTCTCTGATTATGATTCAACATATATTTACATAGACCCATGGGAATGTGAACTTAGTACCACATGAGAGGACTAAAGCATGGTATGAGTGTATTTCCATTGATTAGCCTGTCCATGTGTCAATCAATGTATTTGATAATCTTCTAGAGGGTCCATCTATAACCAATGTAGCAAACAGGGCACAGAAAAACAAAGATCAAAGATATGTAAAAGAACAAAGAAGCAGAATTAATATATAGGGGCAATCAAGGAGTGATGTAGAGAAGGGTCAGTGGTGGCTGGAACAGCAGTACTGAGTTCCAGAAGCATAGGTAGATGCTCCAATGGGTTAGGAAGATGACACCATTATCTGCAGAATTTGGCCTTGTTAGAGAGTTAGCCTGAGTTTTCCAAAATGTCAGACATGGCTTTGATGCCTGAGGATCCTGATCTATGGGACCTGAGAACTCAGGCTTCCCCTGGCTAATGTTTCCCACCTGTTGGCCTCTGAGGTACAGTTTGTTTAGGAGTTGAACCTGGACAGGAGTGGTGGTGCACGCCTGTAATCCCAGAGGCTTCAGAGGCTGAGGCAGGAGGATCACAATTACAAAGCCAGCCTTAACAACTTAGCAAAGCCCTAAGCAATTCAGGGAGACCCTGTCTCTACATAAAAATGCAAAAAAGAGTTGGGGATATGGCTCAGTGGTTAAACATCCCTGGGTTCAATCCCCTGTACAAAAAAAGATGGATCTGCTTTATAAGTGAACCCACATGACTGAAGTGGCCCGAGCTTCCCAGTCAAACTTGGAAGCCCATCTGCCTTGGTCATGAAACCAGTTTCACTTCAATTGGAGACAACCTCTCATTCTGTCCCTTGGGGCTGGAGAGGCCACAGCATGGCAGGGGGCAGTAGCCACAGAGGAGGAGGTTGACTGGCCACAGACTATTAGTACAGACTTCCGGGATAACATAAGTGATGGGGCAGCAGTGGTGTTGGTAGAGTTTATCCTACTCCACTTTAAGGAACAAGAGGTCCTGTCATCTATTTTATCTAGAAAGATCCAAAGTGTCTGGTCACACTCTAGACCTGTGTTGTCCCTTACATAGAGCACAGCCACATGTGGCACCTGAGAACCTAAAACACTAGTCTGAGTTGATGTGTTGTATTTCCACCAGACTTCAAAGACTGGTATGAAAGAAATCAAAATATCAGTCAGGCATGGTGCACACCTTAATCCCAGTAGCTCGGGAGGCTGAGGCAGGAGGATTGTGAGTTCAAAGCCAGCCTTAGCAACTTGGGGAGACACCATCTCTAAATAAACTATGAAAAAGGTCTGGAGATGTAGTTTACTGGTTAAATGTCTCTGGGTTCAATATTTGGTACTCACACAAAAAAGAGTAAAATATCATATTAATAATTTGTATATTGATTATATTTTGAAGCACCAATATTTTGTACAGTTGGGTTAAATAAAATATATTCTTAAACTCAATTTCACCTGGTTTTTTTTTACTCTTTTAGATGTGGCTACTAGGAAATTTTTAAATTACACAGGCAGCTCAAGTTTGTGGCTTCCACTGTGTTCTCACTGGGCAGTGTTAAGTCTAGACAGATTCTAACTATAACCATCCCAGGATTGTCCTGGTCCTCAGCCATATGGCTGAACAGAGCAGGCATCTGGGTGGCCCCCACCCTTCCACCACTCTCCCTCCCACTTTCTAAAGAGCCAGCATAGCAGAGTGAATTTAAGACGTCTCAACTGATCTGGGTGAGGGCTCCTGGTTCTGGTATTTTACAGCTGTGTGATTTATAGAGGTCACATATTCATTCTGTGCTTTCGGCTTCCTGTCTGTAACATACTGACCTTGCTTGGAGCACCCCAGGTCCTTAGCTTGGCACTCACAGTTATCTGAGCTGCCTCCTAGATGGGGCTCCTCCCATACCTCCCTTCCTTCTGTCCTTCCCTGAGCCTCTGGACTTTTCTGAGGCACCTGCAACCTAGGTTTCCATTAGCTAATGACACAAAGCATTAAAATATGGACAATACTCAGTGGCTGTCCCATGAAAAGGGGTCAAGGAAAGTTTGAAAAACACACCAAGATCCACAACAGTGAAGAGAGAAAAAAAAAAACAACTGCATCTCCTTAAACTCTTAAACATCTTATCTTATGCATTCCTTTCGTTTTTGACTTCTTTGGGGGCACATCTATATAACCTCTGTGGGCAGCCTGCCCAGGCCCAGAGCAAAGTGAACATTCAATGAATGTCAAAGGAAGGAATGTAAATCCCCTCACCATCATTGCCACCTCCCACCTCATCACACAATGCCCATGTGACTGTCAGACTTTCATTTCAAATGGAATCTCTCCAGCATCTTTCCCTGTCTCCGGGGCTTGCAGGCACAGAGAAGACAGCTTTGGGCAGATTTCAATGTGGGCTTTGTGGAAATGAGTCCTAGATTTTGACTGTCCAAGGATCCCAGTGGAACCCTGTGACAGCTGGAAGGGAATCTGCTTTGTATTCTCCTGGGGAGTTTGACCAGGTCCACATTTCTGGCCTCCTTGTTGGGAAAGACCTCAATGTAGATGTCTTTTTGTTGTAAAAGGGAGGGGCAGATAGAACATCCAACAAACAAAAATGTAGGTCATGCTAAAGGTGGCACCTTCCCAGTCCTCCCCACCACTACCCCATGCCCTGTTGGGCAAAAGAAAAAGACACATTCAGGGCTCCTTTGAAAAATTCATAATGCTCCAAAAGATGAAGGATAAACAAAGACCAAGAAATGAGATGTACACAGTCACCATACTCTGAAATATCTTTAGCCTGACTGTTAGAGAATGGTACAGATGAAGAAAAAATTTCCAGGTGCGTCATAACTACTGTTAATGGTTTGGATGTGAGGTGTCCCCCAAAAGCTCATGTGTGAGACAATGCAAGAAGGTTCAGAGAAGAAATGATTGGGCGGTAAGAGTCTTAACCCAATCAGTGATTTAATCCCTTAATAGGGATTAACTAAGGGGTAACTGAAGTAGTAGGGTGTGGCTGGAGGAGGTGGGAATTGGGGCATGGCTTTGGGGTATGTATTTGTTATCTGGCAAGTGGAGTCTCTCTCTGTGCTTCCTGATCACGATGTGAGCTGCCACCCTCCATCACACTGTCCTGCCATAATGTTCAGCCTCCCCTCAAGAGCCCTGAGGAATGGAACTGGCCTTCTATGGTCTAAAACCCCTGAAATTGTGAGCCCTCAAATGAACCTTTTCTCCTCTGTAATTGTGCTGGTCAGATCCTGTTAGTCACAGTAGCAAAAAAGCTAAGTGCTCGATTCAGCAGCACACACACTAAAATTGGAACGATATGGAGAAGATTAGCATGGCCCCTTCACAAGGATGACACGCAAATTCCTGAAGCCTTCTATACTTTTGAAATACAGATCAAAACTTCTCTAAGATTTCATCTCACTCCAGTCAGAATGCAGCTATTAAGACTACAAACAATAATAAGTGTTGGCGAGGATGTAGGGGGAAAAGGCACACTCACATTGCTGGTGGGACTGCAAATTGGTGCAGCCAGTATGGAAAGCAGTATGGAGAATCCTTGGAAAACTGGGAATGGAACCACCCTTTGACCCAGCTATCCCACTCCTCAGTCTATACCCAAAGGACTTAAAAACAGCTTACTACAGGGACACAGCCACATCAATGTTTATAGCAGCACAATTCACAATAGCTAAACTATGGAACCAACCTAGATGCCCTTCAGTGGATGAATGGATAGGGAAACTCTGGCATATATACACAATGGAATATTATTCAGCATGAAAAGAGAATAAAATCATGGCATTTGCAGGTAAAGGGATGGAGTTCGAGAATATCATGCTAGGTGAAGTTAGCCAATCCCAAAAAACCAAATGCCAAATGTTCTCTCTGATTTAAGGATGCTGATTCATAATGTGGTGGTGCGGGGGGCATGGGAGGATTAGATGAACTCTAGATAGGGCAAAGGGGAAAGGGGGAGGAGGGGAAGGGAGGAGAAATGGGGGTAGGAAAGATGGTGGAATGAGATGGACATCATTCCCCTAAGTACATGTATGAAGACATGAATGGTATGACTCTAGTTTGTGAACACCCAGAGAAATGAAAAATTATGCACTATATGTGTACTATGAATTGTAATCCATTATGCTGTCATATATAACAAATTTAAAAAAAAAAATCTGACCAAAACAACTAAACAAGAAGCTTTCCTCCAGATGTAACTTTGATCCCACTTGCTATGCTAAGGTTCCACTCCCCATCCAGAGAAAAAGCACCAGCCCCCATCCATGGAAGGGCTTCCTAGCCCACCAGAGAAGGGCTCAGCTGCCTCAGCCCTGAGTCTAATGCAGAACTGCTCACATCAAGAACAATAGCTCATTGAATGGACACGGGTGGATCTATCAGAAAGTCAGAAACTGGTGGCAAGGACAGAGTGATTGGGAAAGAGTTGGAGCAGGACTATGCAGAGGCCGCTTACCCCAGGAAAGTGGTCCTTGAGCAACTTTGCGGTTTAAACCAGAGTGGGTCTGCTGAGTAAGGTTCTCATGTCTGAGCTGTTTTTGGAGACACTTCATGATTCACACCCAAATCATACAAGACGAAAGAAAATACTGGATGAAATCAAGCCAAACATTAAGTTTTGGGGAAAGATTTTTATTGGACAAATTAGAAAAATATTGGTATTGTGCTTCAGAGAAACCCACTTCTTTCCTCTGGCTGCAGGGGCAGAAACAACTTCAGTGGCAGATGGAGAGGGAACAGGAGTTGTTTGAAGTGAGCTTGCTCCATCCTCCCCAGGCTGGCCGCAACCCCATGCTCACACCCACCGTGCTAATCTGGCAGCCTTGGCCAGAACCAAGGGGAACGTCCATTGATAGTAAGGACTCAATTATATGGCTGGGTTATGGAAGAGGCAAGCGGGACTTGAATGAAGACTCCCTGCTTGGACCAGTCAGGGAAGCTGCCTGAAGTTGGTTGTTTGCAGCTGAGCTCCAGAGTTTGGCCAAGTGGATTTATGTCCCTTGTAGATACCATCCGCTAGAGGAAGCCCAGAAGGCACTACCATCCTCCAGAAGAACCCAAAGTGATAGTGTGTTTTAGTCAGTTTTTTCGCTGCTGTGACTAAAGGACATGACCAGCACAATTGTAGAGGAGGAAAGGTTTATTTAAGGGCTTATAGTTTCAGAGGTCTCAGTCCATAGACAGTTGGCTTTCTTCCTCAGGTCTCCAGGTGAGGCTGAACAACATGGCGGAAGAATGTGGCAGAGGGAAGCAGCTCACATGGTGATCAGAAAGCAGAGAGAGATATCTCTACTAGCCAAATACAAATATATACCCCAAAGCCACGCCTCCAATGCCCCACCTCCTCCAGCCATACCCCACCTGCCTTCAATGACAACTCAATTAATCCCATCAAGTGATTATTTCACTGATTGAGTTAAAGCTTTCATAACCCAATCATTTCTCCTCTAACCCTTCTTGCATTGTCTCATACATGAGCTTTTGGGGGACTCCTCATATCCAAACCATAACACAGTGAAAACAGCGAATCTGAGGGAGCTCTTCAATCATTTATCTTCTGAGTCCCTAACAGGTGCTGAGTGGATTAGCAGAAAGGGAAGAGGGGAAAAGTAGAAATAAGTGATGAATACAGGTACAAATTAGCAGCATGTCCGTCCATGCCAGGCCCTGGAGTATCCATGCAAATTAAGTCTTTTTTTTTTTTTTTTTTTGCTACAGGGGATTGAACTCAGGGGCACTCCACCACTGAGCCACATCACCCGCCCTATTTGGTATTTTATGTAGAGACAGGGCCTCACAGAGGTGCTTAGTGCCTTGCTTTTTCTGAGGCTGGCTTTGAACTTGCAATCCTCCTGCCTCAGCCTCCTGAGGCACTGGGATTATAGGCATGGGTCACTGGGCCCAATGCAAACTGAATTTTAAGATCAACATCATTCTTCAGTTTCTATGGCTTCTAATTATTCTAAAACAAACCAACAAACAAAAAACCCAGTTCTTTCTTCACTTAGCAAGGCTCCCATGGAGCTTCATAGTACAGATGTCTATTAGTGGACCATAGTGGGCCAAGATTATTATAGAACCACACCTGAGACAGAGATATGGGAAAGCCAGGCTTAGACAAAGTCACAAGAGACCAAGATTATTTGCTTAGGGCAAACCATGTGACTCTAGAGACTCTGTATCTACACGCGTTGTATATGCACACATACCCATGAAGCCCTTGCCAATGCTTATTATAGCACTCTACACCAACTGAATAATCCAAATGTGTCCTTTAGAGGTCCCCTAAGCATCCTTCACCACCACGTCCTCCCAAGCTTTAGAGTGACTGAATAGAGTTCAATACAACCAGGATAACACACACACAAGGTGCCGGAATAACCACCACTGACCCCAAGGTGTCTTGGGGTCTGCTTTGCTACCCCAGATTCTTGGCTTGCATTATTCCATTTATTCTAACAACCAAGCAATGAAACATACATTCTGATTATGGCAGGTTTATCAGGGACAAATGATGCTCAGAGAGGCTGTGTAACTTGCCTGAAGTCATAGAGCGGGGATATATCAGAACTAGAAATTAAGGATGACCAATGTGACACTAAAGTTGAGATCCTTCCACTTTGCTAAAGTCTTTTGCTTAAGAGGAAGATGCAAAACTTGGAACAGAGTCAAATTACACTTATTGATCATGTTCAAGTGGGCTAATTCATGTAACCCCTGTGGCTGATACCTCTCCCTAAACATCTGGTGGCTCAGAGTAGAGAGGGTCCAGATGAATGGGACAGATGGTCTATTGGGCTGCCCATTCCTTATGTTCTTCTCATGGATCAACTGCAACAGGTTCATCCTGTCATCTCGCTAGTGAGATGTGGGGCATTTTCTTGGGCCTCCCTTCCCCATATATGGCACCTTGACCCTGGGTATCATTTTTGGTGAAGCCACACTCAGGTCAGTGTTTGAACAGTGATAAGAACTGAAATGACTTGAATGGGCATTTCTACTATCAAGAGATGAATAGTGTCAGTTGAATGGCCTGCTTTTTAAGGGACCTTTCAGTACCCCCTTAGTCGTCACAACTCTGGAAAGCAAACCAGCTGGTCTAGCTATAAAAAGCCATTTGCTTCATGACCAGAAGATGGAGATACAAAGACGAGACAGACAGTGTGAATAGGCCGTGCAGGGGGCAGCTGACCATTTCCATTGCTGCAGAGAGAGGGAGCTACCTGGGTGACTTCTGACATCTGGTTCCATTTCATTCCCTCTTTAAAAGACAATAAATAGGAAGTCAATTCTTCACTGGAGAAGCTTCAGGTTTGATTATTTCTTTAACTCGGTTTCATTCCAACTTGGAGTTTAAAAGCCTGGGAGCCCATGCTTAGCTCACCAAACACGTAACTCCTAAACAACCCCAAAAAGGCAGCCTAGACATGGGTCATGTACCAAGATGTTTAGATACAAATATGTCTTTAGATTTAAATGTGATTCAAAAATCGTCAGTCCTTTCCATCAGACTTTTTAATAATTCTAAGTTATATTTGAAATGAGCTAACGAGTTAATTCAGTCTTTTTCTGATAAAAAAAAAAGACTGTTGCAATTAAATGTTACCATAAGACCCATCGGGAAGCATGCATATGGGATCCACATGATGTGGTCATGACTCCATTAATACCAGCGCGATTAGAGCAAAGTTGGATGATGATGGAGCTCTCACATGAACTGTTTCTAAACAATGACGCAAGCGTGAAGCGCATTGGTCCCCAGAACACTTTGCCAACAGATATTTGCATAGCAGGCTCTGCTGCTATTTTCTAATTCTGATGAAAGGGGGAAAGACGTGGGATGAACAGTATGTGTGCATTTATGAACATGCGTGTATGTGTCTTTGCTAAAGAAAATGACTTACACCTTCTTTAAATCACTGTTCACTGTATTACTCTTCATACTTTTAGATCTTCTTTAAAATTAAATACACATACACAAAACCAGAGGGATGTCCTTTTTGCAACATATTGTACCTAGTCCCAGGATGGCAAGCCGATGGCACCCTTGCTGCCAATGTCCCTCCAGAGTCCAGAGGAGATCCTGCCAGTGGATCTGGCCCCTTCCCTACAAGCCGAGCTACTGTCTGACACTCTACTGTCTTCAATTCAGGGACCTAGGGAGCCTCTATCCAGGGGCCAGGGTTGCTGGCCATGGGCTAACCTAGATTTGGCCTAACCCTGCTCTCAAAGAAACTGAAAAAGATGTGAGAGAAAGAAAGTGGTTTATATACCAGGTCACCAAACAATGCTACTGGGCATGATAACTCAGGTAGGAAATGGAGAACATCTTGCTTTCAACACAAAAGGTGTAAATACCTTCTAT